TTGGGGACTTTCTTGGTCTAAACCACAGCCATTGATGCCATTGCTGAGTTCCTAGTTCTGAACTTAGACGTGCTGAGCCTCCTGCTCCAGTGTCCTTGGTCTTTTCTGTGACTGCTGCTCATGCTGCAGTGAAGTGATGCAGTTTCTTGATCTCAAGCAAAAGCAAAGTAAAAGACCGTATTACAGAGGTTGCCACCATTACTCAGTGTCCCAGAAATCTCATGGCTTAATAAAATAAACGCGAACCTTTTGCTTGGCCTGAGCCCCATTTAGCTTGTCAACCATCACAGGCATCTTTCTTCCAGCCTCTCAGAGATCAAGGTTTTTCACTGAACCTGTGGTCCTGGGGGAGAAAAGCCTTACAGAATGGACAGCTACCCTCAGGCACGCTGCCGAGCAGCCACACAGGGTTCCTGGCTGCAGTGGCCAGTTAAGATCAGTGGTCTGGGCCCTGCCGACCGCCAGAGGGTGTGGGGCTGGGGCACTGCCTAGTGCCGGAGCAGGGAGAAGGGTGCCGTATGCACAAGAACCTTCACCACATTTAGGAGTCCCCTGTAGTGATGTAGGGGAGCATAGGCTCGGACAGGCCAGCGTGGTGGGGAAGCGAGCGGGAACTCGCTTCATTCAAGAACTGGACTGCAAGCTCTTAGAGCTTTCATTGTCCCTGTGGACACAGCACGCCCTGTGCACAGTGCTTTCCGCCTCGTCTAGCTCTCCACTGCACGCCATGACTGTGCGCACGCGTGATACCTACCAGCTCTGCCCGAACACATGAGCTCGCTCGTGCGTCGGGGGCTGCCACCGAAGACCTCAGTAATTACAAGTTTAAAAAATCCTCACTGTTGGAAATTACAAACCCAAAGGCCTATAATTCACAGAATGCTGCTTTTGCTGCTTACGTGGTGTATTTTGTTATTAAGCTTAAAAGAAATAAAGGGAAATTCTTTGTAGGGTCCTTGAGATAATTATTTCATCATAAGTGTAGATGAAATTAGTAGATGATATGAAAGCCTGAGATTAAGTATCATTATTACATTTGTGTGAAGAGCAGTTTCCAAACTTTTTAAGCATTAACATAAGTTCTTTCTACATCAAAACCATCTTCAAGAGATTATAAACCACCAGTAAGATTCACTCTCAGAGTACACAGAAAAGAAATAAATTTGAGATGATTAAACCCTGAATTAAAAAAAAATAAACCTGAATTATTACAAATTTTTGCTAATTGTCCTATAGTTCTCCCACAAAGTTTATAATAGAATGGGGGAAGGGACTGTGCAGCCCCCTTAGAACCCTTGGCCCCCTTTCCTGGACAGCCTGAGCAACTGCTCGCTCTGGCCTCTGCCCCAGGTGCCTTCTCCCTGTGTCCTGTTAGCCTTGACCTGACCCCAGCTGGTGCCTGAGGTCCCAGCGTCCCCCAGGGCCACCCTCCCCTTCTCTCTCTGGGTCATCCCAGAAGGGCGCACGATGCTAGGAGCCTGTTCAAGTGATCGTGTTTAAAAAGCATGTTTGGCTGTGCTTAGAAGGAGTCCACACAACAATGCCTGAATTGGGGCCCCAAGGACTCGGCCCAGGACATTGTCTGTGCAGTTACAGAAGAGGGTGGGGGCCCTGGAAGCCTTTCAGGACCCCTGGGGTTAGCGCGTGGGGCTAGGCTACGAGGAGGCGGGTGACGCACGCAGTAAAGCAGTTACGGGAGGATTCTGGGTGGAAAAAATAGCTGCTGGTTCATTTTTCAATATTTCTCTTTAGGCTTTGGCCTAAAATAAGCATAAAAACTTCTGGTCACTCAGGTCAAACCCAAAGTGGAGCAAGATGTTAGGAACAGCCAGGAAGCTGGGATGGTGCGTCGTGTGTGGTGACCAGCGGGGTGTCTTCCCACTGAGTGTTCTGGACTCCACAGGGGTGGATGTGGCTGAGACAGCGCTGCCAGCAACTGCTTCAGAGGTGGTGAGGTGAAGTGTCAGCCAAGGAGCTATCTTCCACACTGGAGCCCCACATCTTGTCTGTAGGTCAAACCCAGACAGCCAGGCACCCTTCCCTGGGCAGTGGGCTCAACAACTTACACCTGCGTAAGTGGTCTGAAAGAAACAGAATAACACATCACAACAAGGACAATGAAATCCACACTTCACCTTGCACGGAACACAGTCACACCCACTTGTCAACCTGCTTAAAGTGGTTGCGTTGTGCCCCACAGCAGAGTCAGAGGAGGCTCTGAGCTCCTCCAAGCCTGGCAGCAGTGGATGCCCTTTCTTCTCACACAAGGAGGAAGGCTTTGACCGATCCCAACTGGGACAGAGGAGAATCTGGTTCAAGTCAAGCGCACCTGAGAGGAGCATGCCACCCAAGGGTGCACACAGCCTGAGGAGCCCAGGGGCGCAGCCACACAACCCAAGGAGCAGGTGGCAAGGCCTCCCTGTGTGTGGGGCGTGCGTCCCGCTCGCCTGCTGGGCATGCACAGGGCCCCTTGTGGAGATGTGTCCTGACAGATTCAAGTGGTAATTGGGGTGAACCGTCCTCAGATAGGTGAGCATGTGTCAGGGGGCGTTCAAAACCTGGGACCCAAGAAACATGGGCAGGTTTCTGGAGTGGGCATCACCCCATGGCTTGCAGAGGATGCTGGAGGCAAGGGGAATCATTCTGAATTGAAACCCACAAAAACAGCCAGTGCTGGTGTGGCTGCAGCTCACTGGTAGGGAGTCTGCCCAGCGGGCGAGGCCCTGGGACGAGCCTTCAGGGCTCCAAATACATGGCTGCTTTATAGCACAGAATTCAAATATTTGAATCAAGATGCAATTTTATATCAAAATCATAGTTACAATCACCATGCTTCAGGTTAGAGTCTGGAGTTACAAATCGGCTTTTCTGTGTCCAGAAGGGCACTCTCCCGAGGGCATCTGACAATACTGTGTGGCGGGCTCTGAGGAGCATGATGGCGTGGAGTCAGCGACAGGGGCGGCTTGGCCCTGAACTTTGAAGCAGAGCCACTGCGGCGCCCTGGCCGCCTGCTTGGGCCCAGGTTGGGAGCTGAGTCTCAGAGGCCAGGCGTAGGCTGCAATGTTGCCAAGTGGAAGGAGGAGGCCCAGTCCGTCTGGGTGCAGATCCATGCAAATCTGTGCCCAGCACACACCTTGCCACTCAGGCTTGCCTGCTTTAGCGCACACACTGAGTGCTTCCGGAGCACCTCCGGGCGTCTCTCTGCTCTCTCACGACCCAGCCAGCTCCAGACACAGTATGTCCACATTTGTGGCCAGTGAGCCCGTGAGCCTGTCACAGTAATGACCTTCCTGCCCACTCAGCTCTCTGGTTCCCACTAGACACTCAGGTGCAGAGTGTGCAGCAGGCAGCAGGAAGACCTGAGACCTTAAGAACAGAGCGGTGTGGCTGACACTGGTACAGCAAGACTGCTGTGCAGAGGGCGGGCAGGAGAGAAATGTAAAGGAGGTAGGGCCAACATTCAGGGACACGGACCGGTCCAGAAGACCGACAAGGAAACCGGGCTGGGCAGAGAACGGTGGAGACAGCACCACATGGGCTCCCGGTCTCTGGTCGCTGACGTGCAGCGCGGGGCTCTGCCAGGTGACAGACCCAGGAGCTCTCCACCACGAGGTCAAATGTGACAGTCACAGGCACAGAAAAGCTAGTGTGAGCTCAGGATTACAACCTGAAGCATCTATACTGTAACTACAATTTTGATATGAAATTCCACTTCTGATGTGCAAGTTTGAACGCGAGCAGCCAGGCAGGGAGGGAGGCATTTTGGAGCAGACTTTGGTAGCCGTGCTGGTTGCTTGCTCACCTGCCTTCTGCTCATGGAGCCCTGGTGACCCAGACTCCCGCCCACCAGGTCTGAGCAGGTCACGCACTGGGCAGGGAGGCTGCCGGATGCCAGAAGGACTCCCCTCCCCCTTTGCTGCACCTCATTTCTCCCAGTGACCAGGTCTGTTCAAGCCCCTCACAGTCCTGCCATTGCTAATCTCTGGCTTCTTAGTGGCCCAGTTGGCTTCCTTGGCTTGTGTCCCTGTCGCCAGTTCCTGGTGCTAAATTCCCCATGCGGAAGACCTCCACTGATCACTGAGCGCACACCAGTGGTGCAGCAGTGAGCTAGTTTTGTGTGTCTCTGGTTATGTTTACGGAACAAGGAGACTCAGAGTCAAGCAGATGTGAATAAACTTCCATAAGAAAAAAGTTTTAGTGAATATGTATAAGCATCGATCAAAAGCCTGAAGCATGCTGCTACTCTCCTGGGCATACTCTGTGCTGATAAGGAGAGACCGGTATTTGGGGAAGAAGCAAAATATCTCATGAGGAAGGGAGTGACATGGAGCTCGCTGTGGACTTGGTGTCTGCCACGGAGCAGCAGCCACGCCCCCACTCTTCCCCTCCTCACCCACCGCCGGCCCTCTGTCTCCTCGTGGGGCTGGTGCAGGAGCTCCAGAAGGTTTGCAGCCAGCTCCTGCCCCATGTGGCACTGTCCCCTCAGATCCAGTGCCTCTCCAGTTAGAGGCCTGCAGAGGGCTCTTGCCCAACGCCGTTTGGGGGCTGACAGAAAATGCACGTGCTCAGGACAAATGCACTCTTTCCAAACCCGAAGATGGCTGAGCATACTCACACAGAGAGAGCCGCAGGAGAGAGCCGTGACTGGGCCTGTCTTGCCTGACTTATTCCTCCAACAAAGCCCTATAAACAGCTACAAGGTAGGCTCGCCAGTCCACACACCAGAAAACAAACCTGGAGAGACGAAATCACCTACTGTGGGCTACTCCGAGGCTGCTAGAATTCAGGCCGCCTGGCTCGCGCGTCTTCGCTGTGGCCGGTCATCGACAGCCAAGCTCACTAGCACTAGTGTCCGGGAAAGTAGAGACACATTTTTGTGTCTCTTTAAGAACCACTATTTGGGAGTAGGGTTACTGAAGTGTCACATATCTTCACATAATATGTATTTATATGAAGTTTTAAAAAATCCACAAATAATTTTTAAGGTTTTTAATGCACGAAACAATCATTTCCATAACAGAACAGGCACTGACTCACTAGCAGTGAAGCGCTACTTAAAGGAGACCCCTTCCCCACAGAGTAAGCGGGACCACAGTGTAAGCAGACACGAAAGGAGGTGACCACTTCAGGGTGGGTGCAGCCCCTAACGCGCACGAGACATTCAGATATGGCTTATAATCTCACAGCACTGTTTCCATAATGATGCACGGGACATTTATACAGACTGGTAAGATGCTCTTGACTCAGACATTAAACGAAAATACTGAAGAGGTAGTTTTGCCAATGCAGGGTGAGGGAAAAGGCTTGATGTCGCTTTGGTCGTTTACTGGAAAATCGACAACCATGTCCTTGCAGTTGGTTCTGCCGTCGCTCTGGCTTCCTCTGGGTCAGCTGGGAAGGTCGTGCTTTCAGAAGCCCATTCACAACCCCCAAACGGCTTGCTCTGGACAGTGGAGCTTCTGGGCAACTGCTCCACAAATTGGCTGGCAAGGTCCCATCACATTTTTGTTTTTAAATATGAGATAGACTCTGGCTCAATGGAGGTGTGTGAAGGCCTGCCCAGCAGTGGTAGGAATTCATCCCGGGTCTCCTCAGTCCTACGTGTGGTTCCCTGATCCTAACATCTACTCACACCCACTAACACTGGTAGCTGAAAGTGAGCATTGCTTTAATTTTTTTAAAAAGTCAGGTATACATTGCATGGTGATTCAACCAAATTTCTCATGTTTTTAATTGTGTTCCATGAAATCTTCACAGCTCAGACTCCAAGGGAAGTTCGGCTTCCAAGGTCTGATTCTGCCTGCTGCTTCTGAACACGGAACAGGACAGGCCTGGGAAGGGATCTAAACAACAGAACCGTGACAGAGTCCTCTGATCTACACTGAGGAACCATTATATCCTTCCCATGAGAAAGAAGGCCATCCTGAAAGAAGTGCAAAGAAGCAACAAAGACCTGTGTCAATTTGCAAAACCAGAAACAGTCATTTGCCAGACAACAGTTAGGAACCACTAGGAAGAGAGTGACAGGACACGGGCCTGACTTGTTACACATGAGAAAGCATAAATACACGGGCAGTGAGTGTTCTAGGTGGCCGAGGGCTTGTGCAGGTGAACGTGCGCAGACAGGCAGGGTTCTGGGCACATCCCCAGCGGGGCAGCAGTTTCACACACTGCAGTCGAAGGCCAGGAACGGGAAGAGCGCCGCACGCACAACACACACGCGGGTCTCCGCTCACGTCCGTCCTTGCAGATGCACAAGGAGAAGCAAAGGTCAAGGTGAGCCTCCCTGCGTCCACTGCTCACCTTCTTATTCATTATCAGGCTCAAGTTCATCTCCAGGGAGGTCACAGCCACACCCCTATAGGCCCCCAGAGCCAGGACCGCGCGGAGCCAACCCAGGCCGGGCAGTCAGGAGCTCCAGCCTGCAGGGACCCGGGTTCCATCAACAGGAAGCCCCAGGACGTGGTGGGCTGCAGCTCTCAGGCTGCGCGGGAAGGAGACCGTGGGGCAGCCCAGGGCGCGCCAGCATGCGGGAGCGGGAGGAGCTTCGCGCACTTGTGCAGAAACAAACACAAAACCCCACCCCCGCGCGGTCGGCCTTTACTGGTGCGATCTGTCTGTGCCGAGGGAGGCGCTGTGCTGCTGCTGCGCGCCATCCAGGAGCCTCCTCTTCTTCTTCTTGTTCTTCTTGCCCTTTGCCTTTGGCGTCCTCTTCCCTGTGACAGGGAGAGAGAAAAACATAGAGAGATGTCAGCAAGGGCGCCTTCTCCAGGACGGAAAGCACAGAGCAGTGAGGGTTTCAACGAAGCCCATCTGGAAAGCATCACCTGGAAGAAACGAGTCTCCGAGAGAAAATGGTGCGCATTAATTTTGACAGAATAATAATAATTAGTAAATTGGATAAGCCGCCTAAAACAGAGACTGATCTCCCTGTTTCTGGGCACTGGCAGATTTAAAAACATCCCAGGGCCAGAGCAGCCTTTCGCATAGCGTGGTGCCCCCAGGTCCCATTCATCCTCCCAACGTCACAAAGCCACTCTTTTCCAGACAGCTTTACATCCTTCTCCAGCTCCCCATGTCCATGTGTCCAAAGAAAATAAGCGTCTGTCTGCCCCTAACATGGCAGCGCTCTCAGCGCTGCCTGCCCCAGTCCAGGGCGGGCTGCCCACAACACTTCTCCCCCCGCTCTCCGACACCCACCTCAATGGTTTCCATGCAACGCTTCTGTGTGCACCAGGACCTCAATCATGGTGCGCCTCACAGGTTCTTGCCCAAAGCTCTGGACAAGCTTTTTATTAAATAATAGAGGGCAAGAAGATGCTTGTTTGCTTTGATAAACCGGCAGCGTGCACCTAACCGGAAGTCATACTTAGGCCATCGCCTCTCCTTCCTTGCCTGGGCTCCTGCGAAGTCCGCACACCAGCTGAACAGCTGAGGCTTTTCTCCGTCAGGAGCTTGGGTGTGAGTTTCCTGCTCCATACTGAGCCTTTTCCGTGTTTCCTCACGAGCATGTGCCCGTGAGAGTGGGAGGAGAAGACCTCAGCGGAAGGCATGTGCTTTTGGTGCCTTGCTCGCTCTCTACATACACAATAGCCATGTGATTTGTAGAAAAGGGCTGTAAAGGTCCCGGCACTTCACAGAGTATGTGGCCGTCAGCTGCTCAGCAACCAGGAGAGAAGAGAGCCCCGGTAGCCTTCTCCTCCCTCCGCTTCCAGTTTTACCTTGCAACTCCTGGATGTGTTTTCCAGCCCAGGGGTAGTGCTCTGACCCACAGAGGAGTGCTCAGCTCCAACACAGGACCGGCCCTGTCCAGCCCTGCTCTGAGACCCCAAGGCCAGCAGCAACAGAGAAAACGGCTGATGGGAAGATGACAAGCAGCAGAGCTGAGGGTGTGTACCGGGCAGGAAGCCAGGATCCGAGAGGTTAAGAGAGGCAAAGAGGCGAGTGATCTGAGGCCCAAGGAAGGGGCACTCATTTCTTTCTCATGGGGAGGGGTATGTTTTCACGGAGGAGGACAAGTCTCACCCGCAAGACCCTAGTATGGTGGGCCACGGATGACAGTCAACCAGCGGCTGCTGGGCAGAAATTTTGATCACAAGCAAAAAGAACAGCGTATTGCTGTAGGAGGGTACATTACAACAATGGGAACATGGTCAGCACCCAGTCATAGGAAGTCACGAGGTGCTCCAAGGTCACTTCTGGTCTCCTTACATCCTGGCATTCGGGCTCTGAAGGCACTGTGCCTTCTTCAAGTAGTGTTAATCCTGCCCGGAGAAGCCCGAGTCCAAGCCCTCACAGTCAGCACCTCTGTAAAGTGGTGACTTTGGATAACATGTCTCTGAGGATGGGACACCCCTGAGGAGGGCAGAGGCGGAGACTTCAGATAGAACAGCATATCATGAAAGAGGCTTTAGTTGTAAAGCTCCGTAAAGAAGTTTTCTTGGCTTTTACTTTTTCTAAACAAACAACAAAATAGCAGTTAAAAAATTCCTATTGACCATATTTTAGAAATTTATTTGATTTATACTTCACTTATTTAAAGCCTGGAGTTTCTCTTAAAGGCAAAGTGAAATTAAGTGAATAGAAAATAAAGCTAACATTGTATGATTCTCAAATATGTTTTGCAAAGTAAAAATGTAATAAATATATTATGTAAAGAAAGCATTTCATATTCATAATTTCAATTCTTCACATAAATTATGTAGTCAGTGTTGTGTTCACAAACTGCAAATCCACGCAGAAAGACCAGAAACTCTCAATTGGCCAATTTTGTGTCCTTTACTCAATTCATTGTCTTGATGTAGCAACTGGACTTCAGGTTTGCTGGTTGAAATAATATTGTGCAGAGTGGATGTAACTCAATATTTGTATACAACAATTGGTATCTAGGCCAAAAATCAGCAATGGTTCTCAAAACTTACTCAGATAAAATGACTTCTCCGATTGCATGATTATTGCTTTGGCAAGAAGGCACCTCCCAACTAGCATGGCCCAGCGCCCTCCCAGTGACCCCAAAGCTCTTCCTCATGACCCCTTCTGTGGCGTCTCTCCGTGGCATGTGGTGCGTGGTTTTGCTTTGGGCTTGCCCCATTTCTCATGAACCCCACAGAACCAGGAGAGTCAGGCCCAAGCCGACTGAGAATGCTTGTGGTTGGCAGCAAGTTGTTCTGGGTTTAAGCTCAACTGAAAGTAATAAAAGAATATTGAAGACAAGGGATAGAAAGGGCCTTGCCTTCATTTCTTCAGAACTGAGACCTCCGAATGTAAGTTCAGCACCAGGATCAGTGTTCACGCAGACATGCCTGCAACCCTGTTCTGATCTGCGCACTCGAAAGCACGTTCCGTCACACACTCACTCAAGCGTGCTGGCACTGGCTTCCCTCATATCGGCAAGGAGGAGACGAAATACACAGGATGGCTTTAGGGCCCAGCTCCCTGCACACTTGTACCGCAGTCACACTGTGAGGGAAGACAGCTAGAGAAGGGTGGGGGCATCACAGAAAGCAGCTTTGTGCCTTGATTTAACCTTCTTACTTTTTTGTCCATGAGAAAAAACTCAGCATGTTTACTGTCCAAGACCAAGAGAACAGAATCTGAGTTTTGTGAGAAGACACAGAATCTCCGTCACTGAATCGTCGCGCTGTCTTGTGAGAAGACATCCAACTCTGGTGGCAAATTCTTCACACCTTTGTCCTGAGCTATCCAAGCCTACAAGAACCCAGGAAGTCACTACAGAGAATCTGCAAAATCAGACAGAACGAAGTCTGCAGGGTGATTGGTTTTTTCCCTCGTGGGGGTTGAATCCAGGACCATTGAGCCTTCACATTGAGCTGTATCTCCAGTCTTTCAAAACAAATTTAAATTTTAAGCCAAGGTGCTGCAAGGCTTTCCAGGCTGAACTCAGACTTGCAACACTCAGGACTCGGCCTCCTACCATGCTGGGATCACCTCTAGGCATCATCATGAGCTGTGCGATCCCTGGCACAGACATTGCTCTGCTTAGGGAAGGCAGCGTGGTGACAAAGAATGGCTGCCTCTGGGTGTGAAGAGACCTACAGCCCAACAGGCCTGCTCTTAGGACTGTGTGCCTGGTGGGACCTTCTGCTTCCATGTCATAGAAAGAAACACCCTGCATTTCTCCCTAGAAAGTTTTACAGCACTGTGTCCCTAGGATGAAAGGACAGCGTATAACATATCACTGGCAAGACAGGACTGTCTTCAACAGATACCCAAGCCACACTGTAACCAACGTGACTGCCGTGACTCACACTCAGTGACTCGGTCCAGGACCCATGATCTTGGGCACAGGGAAGAGACTGTCACTCACCAACATGCCCATGACTGCCACTGGCAGTGTGGGGAACTCGCTATGAACCAGGGCACCAGGCAAGCTCCCGTGTGGCATGGAACT